CGCCCCTCTCTTCTCCTCCTCACTCTTGTCCCCACTGGACCCCCCTTTTTTCCTCCTCTTCTTTGTCCCCTCTGGACCCCCCCATCCCCTCCTCACTCGTCCCCGCTGGACCCCCCACCCCCTCCTCACTCTCATCCCCGCTGGATGCCCCTCTCTTCTCCTCCTCACTCTCGTCCCCGCTGGACCAGCCCCCATCCCCTCCTCACTCTCGTCCCCGCTGGACGCCCCTCTCTTCTCCTCCTCACTCGTCCCCGCTGGACCCCCCACCCCCTCCTCACTCGTCCCGGCTGGAGCCAAGCCCCTGCAGGAGCTGCACCTGCCGTGCCCACCACCACACCCCAGCTCCGAGTAGGCCCTGTGGTGGCAGAGCCGCAGACGAGCTTGGAGAGGGCTCGGAGGCCCACTGTGGGACTGAGGATACAGAGAGGGCAGGGGGCCTGGCACGGCCGGTACTGGTGAGCATAGACGCCCTCCCCTCGGCATCTGGCCCCCACCCAGAAGGCACTGAGAGCCGCCCTCCTGGTCCGGTGGGGGCCTGAAGCCCCGGGTTGGGGCGGGCCTCACCCACGTCAGCCGGGAAGGGTGGCTTCAGCCGGGGCTTGCCCTGCTTGCCCTCAATGGACTCAATGAGCGCCGTCTCCTCCCCGCAGATGTAGGCCCCGGCCCCACGCACCACGAACACGTCAAAGTCATAGTCGGAACCACAGGCATTCTTGCCAATCAGACCGGCCTCGTAGGCCTCTCGGATGGCCACCTGCGGAAGAGGGGTGTGTGTGTGTTGGGCACACAGGCCCTGAGAGCCTGTCACCAGACCCAGGGCCACAGCTCTTTCTGAACACGAGCAAGAGACCCTTGGGGAGACTGTGCAATTTCACAATGTATGTGTCACTTCTGTAATAACAACAAATTATCAAAGCATAGATCAAAAAAAATTAAAGGAAATAACCAACATTTTTAGCAAGTAGTCGACAGTCATTTCTCTAGGCAGGGGGTCTGCCAGGAACCGACATCTTTTCCAGTGGTCTTGTGTGTCTCTAAGCACACACTACTTCCACAGTGGGGAAAAGACCCTCAGACATCACCTTCTTCTGGGTGATAACATTACCACTTAGACAGTGCCCCATATCCCAGATACTGTTCTAGGTACCAGCCCTCCACCCTCTACTGCTTGGAATCTAACAGAAAGGGGTGTGACTCTGGCTGAGACCAGTCACTACAGGCATCATTGAGCTTAGAATGACTGAAATGACCCTTTGGCCCTTCTGCAGGAAGAACAACCAAGTGTGAGTTCCCCAGCCCAGTGCACACTCCAGGAGTCTATCAGTAACCTCAGGGTCACTGAAGGCCTCCCTGACATTATCAGCAGACTCCTGCATGGGCCTCCCAAGAAGCTCTGGTGGTGCAGTGGCTAAGGCATTTGGCTGCCAACCAAAAAGTCAGCAGTTCAAACCCACCAACTACTCTATGGAATAGATAAAACAATCTGCTTCCATAAAGACCGAAACCTTACAGGCCAGTTTTACCCTGTCCTACAGGGTCACTGTGGGTCATAATCGACTCAACAGCAGTGGGTTGGTTTTGGTGTGATTGGAGGCCTCCCAACATGGCTCCAGAGCACAAAGTACAAGCTGAGAGGAGGCAGCTTTGGATGCCAGACCCTACTCAACAATGCACACAGACATGTGCACTGCTTTCCCACCTCTGAGTGGCCAAATGCTAAATTCTAAGAACAACTGTATGCGGAAAGTGGGGTGAACACAAGCACCCCGCACTCTTCTCCTCCACTGATGCCCCGCCCCTGCCCACCTGCAGATTGGAGGCTTCATTGTAGAATTCGCCACGGACGTAGATGTAGGCGGCACGGGCGCCCATGGCCCGGCCCCCCACCAGGCAGCCTTCCACCAGCTTGTGGGGGTCGTGGCGCATAATCTCCCGGTCCTTGCAGGTGCCCGGCTCCCCTTCATCAGCATTCACCACCAGGTACTTGGGCCTGTGGGGTCAGCAGGTCAGCCAGGCTACAGGCCCGGTAGGGCTGGGCCCTCAACCTACAACCCCCTCACCCTCCATCCAGGGAAACCTCAAAGGTATTATCTCCAATGGCTCCTCCCTTTATTCCTACCTAACATGTTCCTGGGTCTCTGTTGCTCACCACCAGTGTCGGGGAGCTCACTGCCTATCCTATCTTTGAGGGGCTGTGACCACAGGAAAGGTCTCTGTTATGCTCAGTCCAAATGTCCTGGCCTATGCTTTCCTCTGGAAGCCCGAATTCTGCTCTGGGTCACAAAGAGCCTTCCTCAGCCTCCACCCCACCTCTGGGTCAAAAGCAGGTAAAGTAACTGACATTTATTATCTGCTCTCTGTGTACAGGCCAATATGCAGGCCACACACTGTATGACCGATTGCTCTTCAGTCCCTGCACAACACTGTTATGTCCATTTACAAAAAAGAAACTGAGAGTCAAAGAGATCAGACTGGCCAAGACGGTACAATCGGAAAGCAGAGGTAGGATTTGAACAACTAAGTGGCTGTGCACATTCTGCTACACTTTACACCTCCCCTGAGGAAGATGACAGAGAACCAGGCATCCCATCGCGGCCTGGGCCACTTTCCTACCTGTCACTCTTCGTTTCTAAGGGAACAGTCCAGAGGCCTAGACAAGCCCTCCCACCCCCAGGGTTCTCCTGCAACCCCACCTCTGCCTCCTCTACACACCTGCCATCTGAGGGCTTGTTCATGAAGCTCCATTTGAGGCCAGTGGGGAAGCCAGCACCTCCACGACCCCGCAAGCCTGATGTCTTGACCTCACCCAGGATCCAGTCAGGACCCTTCAGCAGGATCTCCTTTGTCTTGTACCAGTCACCTCGACTCTGGGCACCTTTCAGCCTGGACAGAGCAGGGAGGGCAGTGAAGGGGAGGCCCTGCCCCAGGACCCACCAGACCAAGGGCACCTTCTCACCTCCAGTCATGGCGGCCGTATAGGTTGGTGAAGATCCGGTCTTCATCCTTCAGAGAGCCAAATGAGGTTTTCTTGGGCGCTGTCTGGGGAGACAGGGTGTCAGGAGGCAAGCAGAGTTCTGGAGCCATGAGTGGTCAGGCCAGGGGTTGCAAACTCTCAGATCCGCCTGCTTAGGAGAGGCTGGGCTGGGGAAGGGCAGGGAGCTAGGGCTCCCAACTCTTCCTACCACCTTATTCACCACCGCCACACAGTAGGCACTTCCTGCCTTCCTTCTATCAGCCCTGAGATGGGAACTTAGAGGGGCTCACACAGATGAAAGCAGCAGGTGGCATCTGAGTCCAGGCCAAAGCCCATTGCTGAACCATGGCACCAGCCTGCCTTCCTGAGCCCGGTGTAATGTCATGTCCATTCACTTGTCTGGCTCTCTGGCTGGTCCACAGACGTGGTTAGACCAGGTCATCTTACTAAGTCTGCAGAAAAGGCAATGTGTTTACCGACGCAAGAGGAACACCTCACTGTGCCCGATGGTGGGGGACCCACTCGGGATAAACCCGAGGAAGCGGTGGAAACCGGAACTCCACGCGACCCAGCAGAGTGCACCACGGACGAGGATTACGGGGACCTGACTCCCAGCCTCCCATCCCCTTAAAAGCACCGCTCAGCCGCTACAGAGAGCAGAGCTCTGGCCGGGGCATCAGAAGGCGCACATCGCTCTCCAAAGCTGTTTTCTGCATCTGTCAAACGGGGCTGTGACCCCTTTCTGCCCTGCAAGCCTGAGGCAAGGAAGGAACGAGCCAAGGAGGCAGTTTGCACACTTTTGTTCCGCTATGCTGCAGGGCTGCTAAACATGGGTAGCCCGGGAGACAGAGGGCCTGGGGGAGCGGAAGGGGGAGTCAGCCTCCCGTTAGGACTCGCTCTCCTTCTCCATCCAGGCCAGAGCGACAACCTTCCTGCAGAGCCTGGAGACTACAGACCCAAGGGATGGCTCCAGAGAGTCCCAGCCCGCGAACACCCCTGGCCCGAGCCAGGCCGGGCCTCACCGTGTCGCCGCTGAAACGCACGGACACCCGCGCGGGGAGCGACCCGCCAAGCAGCCGCCGTGCCGCCAGCATCACGGGGGCTAACCCGGTCACCTCCGGCTGTCACCTTCACGTCTTTGGGGCTGAGAAGCCGGCGCGGAGACGCGAGGGGGCGCACAGGAAGAACGTCACGTGCCCCAGCGCCGGCGGCGCACCCATGCTTCCCCGCGCCTTTCCAGCCCTTCCACCGGCCCCGCCTTCAGGGGCGGGGCGGACAGAGAGGCCGGAAATGGCCTGTCGGCGCGGTGGCTTCTGGGAGATGTAGTCCCACCAGCCTCAGTCCCGCCTTCCGCCCTCTGCAGGAGGTACCAAGGGGCTGCTCTTTTGCTCCCCCTCGCCCCTCCTTGGTGTCCTCTCATCCCTCGGGCCCCATCCTATCAAACCCTTAGTGAGAATACCTCGTATGTTGCCTTCTGCTGGGGTCCTGTCATTTCCCTCTTTTTTCTATGGACATGAATGTTTAAAAACTGAGGTACTGACATACCTGAATTGGGTAACTTCAGATCTAAAATAAACTCCATTTGAATTTCTCCTTTTCCGAAGAAACCCTTTAGTCTTTTTGTCAGTGTTACTGTCTAAATAACAAAGAAGGCAGAAGGCAGGTGAAGAGACACTATCAAGGATGTGAAGCAGGAGGTTGAGATGTGGAACTGATCGCTTTAAATGAAGTTAGAACTTGTAAACGACCTTGTAGCAGAGCTAGGTACCTATCAAGTCTTAGTCCCAAATGACTTTCTGACTCCCTAGGGTTTCCCACCGTGTGTCTGCCAGTTCTTTGTGACTCTGAACGAGGGTAAGGAATTCGACTCCAGATGTGGCAGAAAAATGAACCCCTGAATGGATGCTTTGTGAAACAACCCTCAGGAGGTAGCAACTCTGGGGAGGTAACAGATAAACCTGGTGACAATGTTTAAGTTTGTAACTTTTGTTATGCTTCCTCCCCCATCTCTAACTGCCTGTAAACACCCATCCTTTTAAACCTCACTGTTGTCTCAACAGTTCCGAGCATTTTAACACCTGGCAGGGATGTCATGTCTCCCCATTTCTAAACTATTTTGCTCCTTCAATAAATTTCTACTTTAAATTTCTAGTGGATCGTCAGTCTAGTGTTTTCCACCAAGACACTACAAGTGGGGCATTTAGTGAGCACCTGCTGTGTGTGGGAGTGTGCATAAGGAAAGACCCTCGAGACCATGTTGCAATTATTCTGACCAGTGAGAGCTCTCCCGTAGTGTTAGCTTCCAGCGGGTGGAGCCTGGATGCCTCTCTGTGCTCGGGGGAGAACTGTGTTCATTAGCTGGGCAACCCGAGAGGCAGCAGGAGGTTCAGAGGTCTTCCCTTAGGAGGTGGGTTTAGAGGAAGGATAGAGGAGTAATGATACATTCTCCTGTGGGTGCCCCCAACCATCCTGCCGCTGCCCTTGTAGGTGTTTGGTGCTCCCTCCTGCTTAGAATCCCTTCAGTGCACGTGCTGCCTTTGGAATTGAGGCTCAGGCCTGGATTGTAAGGGCTCCACCAGCTTCTAACACCTCATCACACCCAGGCCACTGCCATGCCCCCCAGGACCCCTTCCTGGCCTTGTGGGGCTTCGAGGGGCCTGTGGGCCTGTTCTCTCTCTCCGGGCTCTTCTGACTGGAAGAGGTCCTCTGTCCTTCTGGTGAAGTCCTGGAAGTCTGTTTAACTCTTGTCTTTTTCGGTTCTCTGGAACCTCTTGACTCTGCAACTCACCCTGGTCCTATAAGGGTGTCCTGGCTCTGTGACTTACCTAGTTCTGTTGTTATAGGAGGAAGGCCCCCACGAAACCCAAATGGGTTCTTGTCTTCTGGTGAGAAAGAACTGCTCGCAGAGACAGAGGTGGTTTATAGAGACTCACTCACTGCTGTCGAGTCGGATCCGCCTCCTAGCGACCCCACCTTGGGTTTCTGAGGTGCAAGTCTTTAATGAAACTACATAAGACGGTACAGTGGGACAGCAACCAAACCAAACATATATGCTATGCTAGCTGGACGTGGGAGGCAGGGGAGGAGCCGGGATCAAGATAGAGTCACCAGAACCAGGTATGGGCAGGCAGACAGGCCACACACCCAAGAGGCAGGAAGGTGGGGGAGGAGCCAGGATGACTCAGCCCCAGGATCCAGGTAAGGGGAAGGAGACAGGCCACACATCTAAGAGGCAGGAAGGGGGGGGGGGGGAGCCAGGGACAATAGAGCCACGGGATCCAGGTAAGGGGAGGGCAGAGAGGTTTTGAACAGCTAAGGAAGACAAACTTGTCTGTCAGTCTGTCCTACTGTGGTGGCTGGTGTGTTGCTGTGAGGCTTGAGGCTGTGCCACCGATGTCTCAAATGCCAGCAGGTTTGCACATGGTGCACAGGTTTCAACCCAGCTTAAAGATTGAGACAAACTAGGAAGAAGGAATCGGCCATCCACTTCTCAAAGAACTGGCTAGAGAAAACCTTATGAATAGCAGAGAAACACTGTCTGAGACATTACTGGGCAACTTTATGAATAGCCTGGAAACATGGTCTGATACAGTGCAGGAAGACCAGCCCCTTAGGCCAAAGGCACTCAAAAGAGGAGTGGGAAAGAGCTGCATCATCAGAGTAGAACCAACCTTAATGATATGGATAAAGAAAAGCTTTGGGGACCTCCATTTGATGACATGGCACTACTCAATTTGAGGAGAAACAGCTGAAAATGTACATTAATATTCGGAACATGGAATGTACAAAATATGCATCTAGGAAAATTGAAAGTTGTCAAAAATGAAATGGAACGCATAAAGATTGACATCCTAGGCATGAGTGATAAATAGACTGGTTTTGGCCATTTTGAATCAGACAACCATGTGATCTACTATGCCAGGAATGACAGTTTGAAGAGGAATGGCGTGGCATTCATCATTACAAAGGATGTTTCAAGATCTGTCCTGAAGTACAATGCTGTCAGTGATAGGATAATATCCATATCCCTACAAGGAAGACCAGTTAATACTACAATTATCCAAATTTATGCATCAACCACTAAAGCCAAAGATGAGGAAATTGAAGATTTTTATCAACTTCTCCAGTCTGAAATTGACCAAACATGCAATCAGGATGTGTTAATTATCTCTGGTGACTGGAATGCAAAAGTTGGAAACAAAGAAGAATTACCAGTAGTTGGAAATTTTAGTCTTGGTGACAGAAATAACACTGGAGACCGCATGATAGAATTTTGCAAGACCAAGTACTTACTCATTTTTTTCAACAACACAAACAGTGGCTATCCACATGGACATCACCAGATGGAGTACACAGGAATCAGGTTGACTACATCTGTGGCAAGAGGCGATGGAAAAGCTCAATATCTTCAGCCAAAACCAGGCCAGGAGCTGATTGTGGAACATACTATCAACTGCTCATATGCAAGTTCAACTTGAAGTTGAAGACAGTTAAAACAAGTCCACGAGACCCAACATATGACCTTGAACTTGTTGTTGTTGTTGTTACATGCCATCGAGTTGGACCCAACTCATAGCGAGCCCTCCTTGGGTTTCCAAGGCAGTATCATTATGGAAGTAGATTGCCCCATCTTCCTTCTGAGGAGTGGCTGGTAGGTTTGAACTGCCA